TTAACTGGGCCAAAACCCTTGGATTCTGCAAAACAGCAACTGTTTAAAACAAATGTTTGAGAAGTCAGCAGAGCACATATGCTGATCACAAGACCGCTGGATATAAACTTCCTGAAGATAGAATCAGTGGTCAATGTATAACCTGGGGCAGCTTGTTAAAATGCCCATAGAAAACTTTTCTCTTAACTCATCTAATTCCCCTCCCCCCAACTCCAGCTCCTCTTTCTCATAAAAACCCCTTGATTTCACATAAAAGGTGGAACACTTCCTGGTTACTCTGGAAGGTGTGCTCCCCCAATTGCCACTCTGAGACCCCAAATAAAAGGCCTTTGTTCTTTTCCAGTTTCACATCCTTTCCTCAGTGACTACGTCCACCTTCCCATCGGGCACTGTGGGAGACCAGATGTGTCCCCTGTGTGAATGCACTTTGAAAATGCCAATGTAGGACAAATGACCAGACCTTTTCACGTTTGTCGTTTCCTTTTTGAGGGGCTGAATCTTAAAGAAGTTCATAGAAACACATGCTGCTGTGACTGAGGGAGCGGCCCCACCCAGGTCCGAGCACGGCACGAGGACCCCGGAGCCAAACCATCTCGGCTCTCCGGGCTTAGACCGCCCGACAGCCATGGACACTGGCACTAATCGGTCACTTACAACAGGAAAGCCCTCCCCATTGCAGGATGTTTTCAGGACGTGAGCCTCAGGAAGAATGCTTTGCAGAGCCTCTCCGCACCCCAAGTCACTGTGAGCAAGAGGAGAAACATGGACACTCCCTGAGGCCACCTCAGCGTGGGCACTGGTCACACAGGTGTGTGACAAAGGCGGGGTTGAGGCAAGCTGAAAGGCAAGCCAGCGGGCGCCTCCGCAGCTGCCGCCTCCTATTTAAGTTTTTCTTTTCTGAACACAGAACAGTTAACATGCAGCCAGTGGTCCCCTCTTCATTCTTCCACTTGGCGATCTTTATTTACTAGGTCAGTTGCCTCCCTTCAGGAAGGGTACAGAAAGTATTTCCATTTCAAATGAACTGTTGCTCAAATGACTTTCTTTGCACTACTGCAAGGTTAATTCACATATTTTAAGAAGTGGAAAGTCTCAATGTTGAAGTATCAGCCTAGCAAGAATGTCACAAACACAACTATGGAAAATGAAATCATTTCTGACTCTAACTTGGCAAGCAAAAATGAACACAATAGCAGGAGGCTCCACACTCCCTGGGTGAAGTGCCACTAAGTGCTTCTGGGTCTCAGATTCTTCCCCCCAAGCATTTCAGATCTGAGGTAATCTGCCCCTCACATGCTTTTAGGGCTACTTTGTGGCTATGGAGCAGCAACTAACTGGGAGGGTACCCAAAATCTTGGTAAGTCTTTCAATGGCATACCTACATTTATAAAAGTTTGAATATAACAATAATTTATAAAAGCTTAGGTGTAATCTGTATTTTTTTAAAAGGGGCTAGGGAATTCTCAGGAGTTAATCTCTGAGTGATAGAATAACAGATAATTTTAATTTTGTTTTCTTTTTTCAATACTGTCTACAATAACAATATTTTGACAATTAAGAAACGGCAAATTTTTTGAAAGTTCCTGAAGGCTGACTTACACAATCACTTTTTGTTTCCAAACAAAACTGAACACCCCTTCTTATACACGGCTCAGGAAGTGATGATCCAAGTACTCCCAGCAAGTTAAATAAATACACAGAAACTTGCATAACTGCATTTACGTAGTCAAACCATCTTACCCACACCTATTTCCTCAACAGACGGGGAGGCAAAAAAGGAGGGAAAAGAAAATAATGGTTCCTCGCAAGAACCAGCTGAAGTCTCACCCAAAGCACTTACCATCACACAATCAGTCTGTAGGATTTGGTTCAAATTATCAGGACAGAGAATCAGACTGACCAGTCAGGGCCCCGGCCAATGGCTGCACTCTCTCTATGCTGGGTTCCTCCCTTCATCCAAGGGGCTCTGGCTCGTGAAAATGGAACATTGCCACCTAACCTTCCATGTGGGCTTGAGCAATGGGCAGAGAGCCAGTCTCCAGAGAAGGGAGGGCTTCACTGGATAGCGGACTTGCCATTGTACAATGTACTGCCCAACTGGCAGGTGGGATTTGCACATCCCCCCACCTTCCTATCTCTAACCCTTTGCTTTATGTCACACTACATGCCTGATATGCAGTCCTTCCTCCACAAACTTCTCTAAACCCCATTTTAACCTCCAAGACTCAAATCCAATTTTTTTAGGGAAACATTCTGACTACTTTAGCCAACTCAGATCTCTTCTTTCATGGAACTCTGATTGTCGTTAATAATTGTTTATTTGCTAATCATTTGAAGGAATCTCATCGTCATCCAAAAGAGAAGGCAAGCTGCTAAGGACACAGGGCCCCAGGCACATGCTAGCCATCAAGGAAATTCTAGACTACTGATCAAGATTCCTATTCATTCACCAAAAATTTGAACTGCTACTGAGCACCCATCTCCCCCCTACAAGACACATCATCAGGCATACAACTTAGAGTTGAACAAATCAGAAGAGGTAAGACACACAGAAATGGAGGGCCAACTGACTTGCAGGCCAGAAAGGTATGAAAAGTGAAAGATAATAGTAGGGCCACTACTGGTGACCAATGTGGCAACAGTTAATAAAAATGAAAATATGTACAACTTCTGAGCCAGCAATTCAGCTTCTAGGTTTGTCCCGTATTTTTCAAACTCTTTTGCCTATGACCTACAATGACAAATGTTACCCTGTAATTCACTACAAACACACACACACACATATTTTTTAAGTAAACTGACACAATGGTTAGGTAAAACAAAATATACTAAACATTAAATTTCATTAATGTGGGTCATAACCTAAGAAATCATTACTCACAGATCACTAAGGAGTGAGTCCCCAGCTATCTGTGGAAAAACACCCTAAGCTTGGAGAAACTCACAGGTGCCTAGGGAGCCCCGTAAAGCATGCTCACTGTAACCTTCCCTGCAACAGTGAGATGCGGAAAACAGTTGGAAGGCCCCCGTCAGCAGGGAAGGGGTGGACTGTGGTATTTTTATAAAGATAAAGGACAGGGCAGTTAGAATGAAAGGACTAGATCCACAAAATCCACAAAAACCTCAAATGCAAAGCTCACTACAAAAAGTTACCAAATGATAGTGCGACCATATACATTAAAAACTCCAAAAACTAAATAAAGACGTGTATTGCTTTTTAACACATGTAGTAAAAGTTCAGAAATATGAACTATAAGCACTGAAATTCCTAATAGTGGCTCTTTGGACAGGAGGGAAGGAACTAGAGGACCACAGATTTATTTATAATGTTTTTGTTTTACATAATTACCGGGTGAGGTGCTCACCAGTATTAGCTTTTTAGTCCTCTGACCTTCCTGTGAATCTAGCTACCTCATAATACATTACTCTAGGCTTCATTACTTCCCCACAGCGTGGCTGTCGAGAAGCTCGCGTGACTCTGCACACTTGCCTGCCTTTTCTGGTGACACCTGAAGGGGTTACTGTGCAAGACAGCGTCAGTGAGGACCCCGAGACACACCTGTATGCCAAGTCCAGGGGAGCTGGCAATCTCGGGAAAAAAACCGGTGAGCACTATGTTTCTGACCCAGCTCACTGCCTAAAAACTGTCAAGGATTCCAGTAAACACAGGTAAAAATGAAACAAGAAGTATTTTAGGAAAAAAGTAATCATGTCAATTACTTTGTAATAGCACTTCCAAATTTTCTTAAGGACTTACATCTCTTAAGTACAATGCCCTCTATTTTTAAAATCATTTCATTCCAGCCAGACTCTCCAGTTCCCGTCACACTCCTTCCTAACCAGGCAGGGGGCCACAGTGCCAGAGACTTTCTTTGCATGTTCTACAAATCCCAGGTGGAATTTCTGCAAATTCTATTCCTTAAGAAGAAACTACTTCCTCTTGAAAACATGCAGTAAAGAGTTCTGTGTACACACTGTAAGAAATGTCTAGGTGCTAGTCTGGTCAATTAAAGGGGATTCCAGGAGCACAAATAAAATATCACACACATAGGAGAAAAGAAAAACAAAGGAAAATCAGAAGCATTTTACCCTATCAGCAACAGTTTCTGGAACAATTTCCAGAGAAGAAATACACATTTGTGAATATGGAAAAAGTCTGCAAATGGAAAAAAGGTATTATTTCTCACATTTTAAACCAGTTATGTAATGAAAATCTTAGGCCTACCTAGAAATGGTTCATTTGCAGGTGAACTGCTAGCTACGAATTCATACTAAAACCAAGTCCACCTTCAAGATAATGGATTTTAAGATACTTCCTTCCAAGAAATCAAGCATTTCACAGAGAGAGGTGCATGCTTTAGTAAGAGCTAAACCTGTCAGGATAATAAATGATTATCTTTTATGACTCTGATGCACTTCAGAAGACATCCATAACTCACACCATTACATATTTAATAAACAAGAAAGCACAGCCATGCAACCCTAAGACAAACAGAAAAAGCAACACATAAAGCTTAGATATGTTAATTAGCAGGAAGCCCCCTTTTAATCTGTGTGGGATATGATTTTTTTTTAAATTTAAAAACCAACACTCTTGAGACCCCTACTCTGTTAGTATTTAGTTAGAAGTCTGCACGTCTTCCCATTGTGTGTGATACTGGAGGCACCAATGCTGCTCCTCCTTGAGATGCAAGCACCCAGCATAGGCTGGCACCCAGTAGGTATTTAATACATGCATGTAGGAAACAAAAAAAAAAGTCCACAAGAGGCGGCATCTGATGCAGGGACAGTTCTTTTGCATTTTTCCCATTTATCACCACTGAAGAAGGCTTTACACCAAGCCCACCTAGGAAACAATGGGCAGATGCCCAATCAAGAGGTTAATTGCACATACTTTCGTAAATCCACACACAAATGCTCATCCTCCCATTGAGAAGAATTCAGCAGCATATAAATTGGTATTAGGAACAGAACTAAGCAAGAAACAAAGCAGGCCTTGCCTTTTCATCCTGGTACAACTTGTTGACGCTCTCCATCTGGGAGTCATGGCTGGACTGAATCCTGTCAAGCTGCTCTCGCTGCTTTTCCAGCTCGCCCTGGAACTCGTTCTTCTTCAGCTCCACGGCACCTCTCTCCGCGGCCGCCCTGCGGACCCTGCCTTCCAGCTCCATGATCCTCGTCTACAAGGATACCACCGCGTAAGGGCCAATGTCAAGCCATCCCTGGAGACCAGACCACCTGAGCCCCCTCAGCAAAGACAACACCAGGGCCCAAAGCCAGCAGCAAGCCTCACACACAGCAAGCTCCCGAGGGTCCCAATCCCCTAGGTTCTCAGGCTTCGAAGTCAGTTGTGTAGATGCTACAACAGGTTTTCCTAGAAAAAACATACTGTATGTGGAAGAATTCAGTTCCCCGAGCTTCTCTGGCTCCACTGCATGGCTCCATGGAAATACCCCGACACCGCCACAGGGATCTCATGAGGTTCAAATGAGCTAAGTACATAAACTGCCTCATGCTTTACCTGGCATGAGGTGGTGTTCAAATAATTAGTTCCGTTTCCCCACTAATGGAGCACTTAACTCTTCATGAGACAAAATTCCTAAAAATACATGCAGTTCTTCAACTCCAGACACCAAGACCACACCTGCCGAGAGAACAGGTGCCGTTCAGACAAAAGCATTATGCCCAGGGTAGGCGGGCCCAAGAGGAGGACAAGACACTCCAGTGGGGAGGTGTTCTGGGCTAAGAGCCCCGGTCGGCCGTCAGAAAGATGGGGCTGCAAAACCCCTCCCAGCACATCACCCTCTGGGCCTCAGCACACCCACCTGTGAAATGGGGAAAATAAAGTCCCAAACATCTGGAGTTTGCGCACAAAGGAAGATAATGTATGTGATGTACCGTTAAGGAAAAATGATTCTGACACTTGTTAGAATGGTAAGGAAAACTTTCTTCAAGACTTCTGCAGTAGGGGTCATGTCTGTTGTAGCAGGGGACAGGAATTCTGTCACTCTGAATACAGCCAAGACAGCTGAGGATTCACAGCAATGAGCAGGAGGGGCTCGGTGGGTAGAAAAGGATGAAAAGTATCATTAGGGGTAAGGACTTCTTGCTCAACTGTCCTGACAGATGTTGCTAAAGGCAGGCCAAAGGCGTAGACATCAGGGACAAGGGATGAGGGGCTTGTACACAGGTAGTAGGGGTGGGGGATGACTTAGCCCAATTCTTTAAGTGGGCTGGGCTGGCTGAAGTCAGGATGGGGGACCCAGATGGAGGCCTCAGAGAGAGGAGGGTCAGAGGGGTCTGACTAAAGTTTGGAGAAGGACAGTTTCTGTCACTGTTCAGCACTGCCTGATGCACCATGAGCAACAGTAAATGCAAAAGCAAAAAATAATGTCATTAAATGATGATAAAAATCGGTACCCATAAAAACACACTTCCCATACCACTCTGACATCGAGTGTGGACAGGAGGACCGGAATGGCTTGTGGTCACCATAATGAAGCAAGCTGTCTTCCAAGAACCACCTCGAACAGCTCCACTCAAACTTATCTCACAGCAAAAGCAAAAAGGGATGTTCTGGCAGCAATCCTAAGTCACAGGGGGTCCTGTTCTACCCAATAGCAGAACAGGGAGGATTAAAGCCCAGGGCCAGGTGTGGGGTACACAGTGTCCAAACCCACATGACACTGAGCACAATGCCTTTGGTGGCAAAAAACAGCAAACCCCTCACCCCCATCACCCAGCAACATTAAATGCCTTATGACACTCATACAAACAAACAAACAAGCCAAACCTGGAGATCCACGCTCCGGGAGCTCGCGATCCAATAGTTGAAGCCCAGGACAATGACGCAGGCCACCAAGGCAGCCAGCAGCAGGGGCGGCGACTTCATGCTCCGGCGCCCATTTCCCACGCCCATCATCTCAGAGGCCAGGCTGACAATCTGCCAAATAAAAACAAGAAAGCAAGCCTCAACACCAGTGTTAGCATACCCGATGCAGGCTGCAGTCCTCGTCACAGCCAACAGGAAGACATTCTGCCCTGATGCATGGATGGCACTTTCTCCCTGAAACAAGACACTGACCAGTAAGGGGGCCTGGGCGGACCACACCCGGGGCCCGCAGTGGTGTGTGTATGGCACAGCAGAGCCAGCATCCCCGCACAAGTCCGCAAGAGCGGGCACTGTCCTGCAAACCTGGCACTGCCTCAAGACGTCAGGCAAGTAACCATTCCCCTTTCGCTGCAGTTTCCTCATCTGTGAAACGGGGATATTAGAGGACCTACCTGCCCAGTACCATTTGAGAATGAGTCATCTTTGTAAACAGCAATAGCAGCTCTTAGGTACTTCCACATCACATTAGAAAGAATCCATTTCTCATTTCCCAATGACCATTTTTTGGTTTGATTCCTAACATGGGAGCGTTTTTACACTTTGACGGAATTACTGATGACAATTAAAACAAAGCAGGAAAGCATCTTGGAGGAGCAGGGACTCCCCAGTGTAAGTAAGGCCCGGTGTACTTACTGCTGGGACAGGGCCCTGCCAGAGAGGGACCTTCGCCCCGGCTTCTACTGAGCCCGCTGCTCTCCTTCCAGAGTCAATTTGGGCAGCAGAGCATGGCGAGGAAGAAGCTGAGCTGCAGAGAGCACCCAGCTTCCTCAAACAAGCACAAAAACAGCTAACAAGAAGGGGTGCATGGGGTTCGCCCCACTAGGTCAGTGGGATGCTGGCACTGGTCTCCAAGGACAAGGCAAGCTGAGCTTTCCAAATGGCTTTTCCTGAGCCAAACACAGCAGTCCTTGTCAGAGGGAGGGTGGCATTGCCCACAAATGGCGTCTCTCAGAACACAGCCACTTTCGTGCCAGGTGTGGCCAGCAATGCAGGAGCAGGGTGAGGAGGCGAGGCAGGCAGGGAGGGGAGGGACAGCCGCCTGGGACCCACTGTGAGGTACAGCTCTGGTGAGAGAACACAGGGCAGCTGAGAGCCGGCTCACCACAGGCTACTTCCATCTAAGGGGGTCACTGAGACACGTCTGCTTTCCAAAGTCACGTACTAGTGTGGGAGCCTAGATGGGGAGAAATGAGCAAACAAGCATTATCACCCCAAATAAAGCACCACCTGAATTCCTATGCAGAGAACTGATGGCAGGGTCCAGCCGCTGAGGGTGCCTCCCTCCCCAGCTTCTGATCGCTCAGGATGAAAGAGGGAAAAAAGTTCTAACTTTAATAACTAGTTAGTAATTGCAAGCAGGGTACATACTAAAGGAGAGTAACACTCAGAAATCCTAAAGTTCTAGAAAATTCAATAGATCTCCTGAAAATGTCTCTCCAAGTCCTCATCATCCGATTCTGACCACAGCACAGTCTATTTTCCTAATTTTGAAGCTTTTACAACAACATATAAAAGTACAAATACAACTGGGGAGAAAAACCACACACAGTTACTGTGACATTAGATGTTTTCCTCTTCCCGCTCCCGCGGCCGGGTCCTTCACTCCAGTGCCCTCCACCCTTACAGGGCCCAGGAACGCCGGGGGCACGGCCCCTTCATCCTGTTCTAGTTCACGGAGTTTGGGGCAGGGCCCAGGGGATGATTTTTTTTTTATTTCCCCAGATGATTCCAGAGGGCAGTCGCTCTTCTAGATGTTCCTTGACAAACACACAAGCATCAATAAATATCTTTTCATCCAAACAAGGTCACTTGCACTGTTCTATAAATGCCGTGAATCACTTAGTAATACATCTTGTCACTCTTTTCCTGATAGCACATTACAGTTGCTCCTGTACCAGGATTTACTTCATTTCCTACAGAGGACTGTTTGGGTTCTTCTAGGCTTATTTCCAATACTGCTGCCACAAACAACTCTTACACATCCACGTCCATTTGCAAACACTTACCCAGGTGCACAATCCTCTATCCACAATTCTGAATCCCAAAATGCTCTAAAAACCCAAAAGGATTTTTAAACACTCTTCCAACAAAACCTGACCTGAACACATGTCCAGGTCTGATTAAACTCACCTGAAGCTGCTTATGGTCTTTATCCTTCTTCCTTATGTGACTATCCCTACCCTTTGCTTTGGAAAGATTACTGTTGGATTATGCAGCACTGCCGCAGATTTCCCTGGGGGGCTCTCATACATAATAAATACATCTTACTATCTTCTGAATTCTGAATAATTTCTGAATTCCAAACACATCTGGTCTCCAGAGTTTGGGGGAAAGGGGGGGGGTGAACCAGCAGAAAGCTTACTGTGAGACACTGATCAAGTGCTTCAGATACAGGAGCCCACTGAATCCTCCCATCAGCTCTGAGGAGGCATTAATCACCCCCATTTTGCAAGTGATGAAAAAAAATCAGAGCCAGCTGTAGGTAAATTTCTGTAAGTGGAACTGCTAGGTCAAAATATATATATGCATTTAAAATTGAAAAAGCTTATCTCTTCCAAAATATTCAGCAAATTATACAGGGAAATAGTGCCTTTAGAGTGGAGAATTTGGAAAATGGAAGTTCCTATGGCTAAGATCCTTACCTGAACCTAAACTACTTGATGTAACTGGCGTACTGCTGGGCTACTGCTTCCACAACCTAGGCAATAAGCCATTATTAACTGAGTCACTATGTAAAGAGCTCTACCCAGTGCTCTGGGTGGAGGCAAAGACAAAGGAGGATTCCAGACTGCAGACTGTTGGGTGCAGACATGATTCTAGTGCTCGACCTTTGCCAGGAGAACAAAGCCGGGTAATAAACCCTTTTATCCCAAAATGTTCCATTGTCATTCATTGGTCTCACCAAATCCATAGTGAGCTTGCCTTGTGCTGAAACCCTCAGGCAGGACAAGAATGCTGGCAGATACCACCTTAGCCACGGGATCAAAGTTAAGATCACCAGTAATGAAGTATCATACCATCTGGGAAAAAATTCAAAGGAAATAAAATTGAGGGATATTCTATAATACATTCTTCAAAATGTGTCAACTCATGAAAAATAAGGACAACTCTGGGTGTGGGTAAAATTGCAGTATTTCCAGAATCTCTTGCCTGTCTTTAGAGCATCTCCATACCAACAGGTGTTTCCAAGGGGTGGAGAGAAGTAGTCCATCTCCATATCAACAGGTAGTTACAAGGGCAAGGGAGGGCTAATCTGGACCAGAGAGGTGGAGCTCTCATCTTCTGCAGCCAGGTCAAGAGAGACGTGGGACAACTGCTTGTAAGAAATAAATGGGTTTCTCCCACTTTATTTCTCCCTTTGACTGATTTCAGTTTCAAAGGTATTTTGCCCCAAGATTTTCCCCTGGAGTTACATCTGGCAGTAGTTGGGAGAGAACTCTGAACCCGATGTTTGTCTACATGGGTGCGACCCTTGGGCAGGCTTCCCAGAACCCACCCTGTAGATGGTGGCAGGTCCCAATGGCTGCAGCAGAGGGTGCAGCTTCACTCAGGAGCCCCCATCTGTGGGACTTCCAACTGGGGAACTCTTAGCGGGGAACTGGTCTACAGTAAAGCATTGCCTAGAGGGGTGAGGCCTTCCCCAGAACTGAGGAAGGGTGGAGACACCAGAAGACGCGGAATTAGCCCTCCATGAGATAGAAGACTGCTTATAGACCCTGAGCGGTCGTGTAGCAGCTGGGATTGAAGGGTCTCTCTTCCTTGAGATAGTGGAAAGGGTTATCGAGGACAGAGAGAGACATACTTCAGCATTGTTTGGAGGAGCTGGGTGATGACTTAACGGCATGCCCTTAAGAAAGAGAAACAGTTATTGAGCAGATGGGTCATGCTCCTGGAAGATACGTTAGCTGCGAGGGAGAAGGCAGCAGAAGAAGCCACACTGCAGGAGGCCATGGGAGAGAGAGAGAAAAGAGCAGTGCCTTCAGCCCTGGAGATGGCAGACGTGATGCTGGGAGAGGATGAGGGGAAATGGCCGAGGGCAACTCTGCTGCCAGGGCCACCGCCTGAAGCACTAGCCTCTCCTGTATTAAAGGCCTGCCCAGTTGTAATTAAGAAAACAAAAATGCAGCAACCATGGGCTCCTCAGGGGGAGGAGCCGTCCCCTCCCCAGGTTGTGGAGTGCTCCATGCTCCACCCCAAAGCCCAGGATGAGCTGGTGGACATGAGCAACCAGTACCAGCAGAAGCTGTCAGAACCTCTGCCTATATGGCTTCTGGGTCTCTGGGATATGGAGGTGGAAACATTGCTATGTCAGGTTCTGAAATGGGTAGACTGGCTTCCCTGACAACTCACCCTTTTCTCCGGCATTGGTTGCAAAGTTCCTGTCAAACCTCAGGGAATAATCGGGTGCTTCTGGATTGACTGACAGCAGCCATCAGAGCAGTTTGGCCTAATCAGGATGATTTATCATACTTACCCATTAGCTGGAAAACGTATGCAGACCTCCAGCAGCTGTTATGGGAGCTGGACATGAAAAGTATCATCTATAAAATGGACCCCCAGAGCCCCAATGAGGAGTTGTTCACCATAGGAATGAGAAATCTGGTGCTCCATACATCTCCCCCATCTTTCTTTGGGCCCCTTGTGACTATTCTTGCCCTCAACATAGGGCAGCCCATAAGTGAGGCTACTTGTACTTTAGCAAATCTGGGGGAGGTTGAAACAATAAAAGCATAGAAGGAAGTACAGGCCACGACTGAAAGGAGAGGTACAAAGGGTCCCATGAAGGTCTCAAAGACCCAGAAGTGGGCTGATTGGATAGAGGCTGGGGTAGTGAAAGAAAAACTTAATGGGCAGTGAAAGACCTATACCCTGAAAACTATAAGACACTCTTAAGAGAAATTAAAGAGGACACTAACAAATGGAAACTCATCCCATGCTCTTGGCCAAGAAGAATTAACATAGTCAAAATGGCCATCCTGCCCAAAGCAATATACAAATTTGATGCAATCCCTATCAAATTACCAACAGCATTCTTCAACGAACTGGAACAA